GTTTAGAGCTCGGCTTTTTTCATCCGACTACAATTGGTCTGGGCTACAATAGGTGATAAGTTACAACATGAAATTCAAAACTCCAATTTTGCTTGAAATCCAGGTCCTATGGGGAAAATTCGATATCTCAGCAACAAAGCTGATTGCGCACGAACCAAGTTGGGATTCTTCATAGTCCATGAGGATCTACATTTTAAAAATAGTCCCACTCAAAAAGATTTTTAGCACCTCAGGCGGTTCCCTCGTAAGTTCCAGAAGGAGAGCTGAATCAGACCGAGAAATTTTTCTTCAGTATCTCCATTCAAAACTCGTTGCGTACAAGGTGAACGACTATGGAGAGTCCGAATCTGCAATTAGTTTTGGTCGAACATGCTTTTTAAATTTTGCGGCTGAATTGATATGTATATGACATACATTATTTCAATTCATAGCATAAAGACTCAAATGCAACAACTTTCATTGTTTCTCCGAATATTTGTTTTAAAAAATGATCCAAACCTGACTCTTGCCATACTTCCTCTAATTAACGTATTAATATATTTTTTTAATTGTTTTTCTAGCAGAGAACCACCATGTTTAATAAATTGTCGATATGTTCTTGTTTAATCCTATTAATCCTAATTCATGTGAAATATTATTAACATTCTTTTCTATTCTGTCTTTTAATAAATCTTTTTCTTTTATCATTTAATATCCGGTAAGAAATGAACAAGCGTTTAATGCATTTTTCAATGATGTTTTATATATTTTTTGTTTATCAATCCAAATTTATTCGAAATTCATTCTATTGTTTTACTAGCTGTCATATCTTTTTATCTTCATCGCGTTGATAAACTTTATTGACTAAATACATACAACTTTTAATCAGCTTTATTTTCTGTATTAGAATCATATACTTTACCGCAATATGTATAGCATTTACTTCGCCTATTGTTTCACGGTCAGCTTTTGAACTTTTAAATTTGAAAAACCCAAAGAATAACTAGCAGTTCATTTCACGAGGGAGAAAAGATATGAGCAGTTAGTTTAGTGAGATGCAAAAATCGAGAAGAAGTATATATATATCAGGGATCCCAAATCCAAAAGACGGAAATCAGGGAAAAAAAGTTGAAAATCAGCCAAAAGTCAGAAAAACAAATGGAAATCAATTCTTCTCAAACCCATTTTTTTTTAGAAAAAAATTATAAATCAAATTTTCGTTCAATATCGAACAAAGATTCTAAAATCAGAAAAAATTCCAAAAATCAGAAAATCAGACACAAGGCAGAAAAAAAGTCCCAAAATCAAACGATCTGGGATCTCTGATATATATTACTTCTGTTTCTCATCAAAACAAGGTGTTATAGTCCAATAGCTGTATTTTCATCTTTCGCTATCTAGCGACGGTGTTTTACACTTCTTGATTTATACGCGTTAATGCATCTTACTAAACTAACCAATCGTATATTTTTTGTATTCTTCTCTTCTTTCAAATGTATTGCATTGCTATGCGTCCGTCATCCGTTTGATTCATTACTATACGTTTGATCTTTTATTTTATTTTAGCATTATCTTCACAAATCTTTTTCAGAATTTTGATAGAAACTTTGTGCAAAAGTTTAACGTTTTATCTTTTGCCCTATTTAGCTTTGTTCAATGCTCCTCGTCTTTTTGTCGCAGATTATATTGATACATTCTGTTTTACCGACGAAATTGTACTGGTACATTCTGAACTTTTTCATAGACTGTGCACGTCTACATGTATCTATACATGGTGTGGAACTCGCTTCTCGCTGGCAGGAATTTTTAAAAAGATTAACAGTCAAGTACTGTACAGAACAGTTTAGCTCAAAGTTGATATTCAATAATAGAATAAGATATCTCTATGTGCGTTTAGCAAACTGTTTAATAAAACTGGAATTTTTACTTTAACTCCAGTGGAGAAAAAGGCTGTAGATAATAACATCTAGAAAAGCTCAATTTGCTGAATTGAAGAAATGCTCAACATCGTATTGATTAATGAATGTTTCACGAATAAACAGATTTTTTCTCTGTGCTTTTCAAACTCAGCAGAAGCCTTTTTTTGACGATAAAGATCTGATGACGAGTAGTTGGATATAACTCGAGTAGACATGATGTCAACTTAGGTTTTTTTTGAACTTCGTTTATGATTTAAGTGCGTTCATATGACATAGATGGACGTTGCACTAATTTTTTATATCTTTAGATATAAAATAATCTTCTTTCATAATGGATACATCTGATTTAAACTTACCATCTTACAAATATCAGTTAGAACAAGTAAGCTGTCTGCTCTTCTTGTGTTTGTTTTTTGTTTAGATTTTTAAAGAAGATATTTTCTTAATAGCAAGAAAAAGTTAAAAATTCTCGCATGGATCTCTATAGAAACCTTTCAATCTAGACCGATGAAATAAGAATTTCTGAGAGACGCACAAACGCGAAGATTTTACACTTTGGGAAATAAATGCTTGCTTGAACAGACGATATCTTCTAGTCGATATATATATATAGGCGCATTCTGATTTGTGTCTGTTTCATTTAGGTCGAATTAGCGTTAAAAGCACAACCAGATGATCCAGAGCTACTTCGTTTGAAACAAGATCTGGAGGTAATAATTAAGATATATATTTGGAGACAACATGTCTTAGTCTGATTTTCAAGAGTAGATGTCTCAGTTTCTCTATCATGATTCAAAAAATATTAATATTATTGTCTAGGTAATTTTACACTTCAGTGACAACATCATTATACCATAGTCCTTTAATATGAGACAGATGTGCTTGTTTATGTTCTCATAGTCAATTAACGGTAATCTAATCAGTATCATTATTAAAATATCATTGAATAGAATGATCAATATCTAATGACAAAACGAAATCGGGTGTTATGGACTAATCTAGTTTATTCTCTTATTTTGTTCCGAATAGGAAGTTATAAATTTAACGGCAGAATTATTGGGTTGTGATCCGTCGTTGAATTTGGAAGATACGTCGAATATTGATACATATGCGGCAGCAGCATCATCTTCGGTCCAACAATCATCAACAACAGCTCACTCATCGACTTCATCAACTAGATTACCAATTAAATGGAAAACGGGAGATCGCTGCCTGGCTGCTTGGAATGAAGATGGAAAGTATGTATAATTTCTATTATTTCCTTGAAAGATGTAGTTCGTATATTGAATCTTATCTCTTTATTTAGATATTATGAGTGTACAATTGATGATGTTTTAGATGATGGAACATGTACAATTGTTTACGATGGATTTGGTACAGCTGAAATGACTGCTGTAAGTTATGTTTTTCTTTTTTCTTACTATGATTTTCTGAAGGAATATTTTTCTCTATTTTGTAGGTATCCAAATTAAAACCATTTGATCGTACACGCTCCACTATGAGCGGACCAAAATCAGCTGCTCATCGATTAAAAACAAAACGAGAAGTCGAAACAAGATTACGCGAATTAAAACGTAAAAAACAACAGAAGAAGCTTATAAAGCTGAAAGAATTAGAGGAAGAGCGGGAAAAAGATAAAAAACGATGGGTTGATTTTAATCATAAGGTGGGTTAAGTTGACAGACTTAAACAGTTTTTGTTTTTATTAAGAAGTGTTTTATCGTGTATCAGGCATCAAAATCCCTAAATATAAAACATCATTTCCAAGGAGACATTTTCATTCTTTTTATTTAGTTAACTGGGAAAACATGGAAGGGCGTTGTATCAAAATCAATGGTCAAGAAAAGCGAACCTGTCAAAGTAAATGTCAGTGGTGTCACTGGTGGCTTTATGACAAAATATAAACAAGCAGATACGTCAACTAATAGCAAAGGAACGAAATCAACAAGATCAAATCAACAACGACCATAGAAACTGCTACGTATTTGTCGCATTTTTTTTCTTTTTCTTTTACTGTTTGCTAAACTTTGGTTTAGGTTTTTCTTCTTTTGTGTGTGTGTACAAACGGAAAATAAGCGCTTTTTATACACATAATGTAACAGATTTTGTTTTTGGATATTTTTTCTGTGTTGAGAAATGGAATAAGTATTTGGGTATTTTTCTCTTTCAATGTCCTGTTGCATGAGTACAAGCATCACTTTAAGTTTTTCAAAAATTGCAAAGAAAAACGGTAGCGGGGGAAGCGTGGTTCACAGATAGACAGATTTTTCCAAATTTCTGAACTTTTTTCCGAAAGAAAATGATTTTGATATTATAAACTCGATTTGTGTAGTAAGGACTAGTTCATGTTTCCAAAGCCTGAATTGTTCTGTAACAAAAAGCAATTGTACAACAATTAAATTTTTTCTGGAAATATATTTTACGTGCACAACTAGGTTGTATGAGAATATTTTGGTTAGGCTTTTTATTATATATATTTGCTAATGCAACAGATTTATCGTTTTAGATCGTATTTCTCTGTCTTTGGTAAAAGAGCAACGAGTGGTTAAGCCACTCTTTTTTGTATTGTATTTGGCGTCTATCGTAGTAGCATAAAACATGCATAGTGCAGCTGGTCGAGCCTTATTCCAACATTTGACATTTAAATCGAATATTCAACAAATATCATCGAGATATTTATCATCATCACAATCAACAAGATTATGCAAAATATGCAGTTCATCAAATTTCAAGTAATTCTATTAGAGTTTCACTTTCTTTTATTTGAGCTATTCTACCTCTATTTTACAGTCGATCACCATCTTTTCTCAATACTGCACAACAACAACAACGTAATCTATTAACAACTAAATGTTTACGCCGTCATCATTTATTTTCTACTCCCCAACAAATCAGATATGCATCAACTGGTTAGCGTATGAATGATACTTTTTTTTATAGTAAAAGTAATTTTATCCAAGTTTTGCTGTATTCTAGCTAGTTTACCATCTCATCAAAAATTAACACTTCCAGCTCTATCACCCACAATGGAGACAGGAACATTGAGGTCTTGGTCAAAACAAGAAGGCGACAAAATCGTTGAAGGTAGGCTTGCGAAAAAATTGTTTGAATATTTTTCGAAAAATATTGTTGCTTTTTTTCATCAGGTGATATAATAGCGGAAATAGAAACAGATAAAACAACTCTTGGATTTGAAGTTGGAGAAGAAGGTTATCTTGCTAAAATCGTATTACCCGCTGGAAGTAAAGATGTGCCAGTTGGATCGGTAAGTATCTCATTAATGTTCATCATTTGATTGTCCTTGTTGTTTCATATACATAGGTTTGTGCAATTGTAGTTGAAAAACAAGAAGATATAGCTGCATTCAAAGATTACAAAGATGAAGGAGGAAAATCCACAACATCATCGACTAAGAGTGATGGTAGTGAGAAAAAAGAGACAAAAGCCCCTGAGAAAAAGAAAGAGACGTCGAAAGGACAAGTTCAACAAGAGAAAGAACATTCGCCGTCAGAAAATAAAACAACTAAAGCAAAAGAAACTGAAGAAAACCAACAGCAAGCGCAGGGAGAAGATGGGAAAGATCACGTATTCATATCACCACTGGCAAAAAAGTTAGCAAATGAAAAAGGAATCGATATAAAAGTAAGATAGTTTGAAAAAGAAGTGAATCAAGTCAAGCATTTACAATTTTGAATATTCTGAATTAATTTTTAAAAATATTTTGTTTACTAGTCGGTTCAAGGTAGCGGACCGAATGGTCGCATCATTGCCGAAGACGTAGAAAAATTTATCAAAGATGGTGGTGCCAAACAACAACAAGTTAAACCAGCAACAGCCAAAGAACAACAGTCAGTCACCAAAACAAAGAAAGAGAAAACTACTACTACCGGCGGTTACGATGAAATTGACATTTCTGAAATACAAGCTGCAAGTTGATTTAATCCAGCTCTGACAACAACTAATATTATTCTATTTTAGGCAACAGCAAAACGTGTAGCACAATCGAAGGCAACCATACCACATTATTATTTAACAATTGAAATCGAAATGAATCAAATAATCAAGTAAATTATGAACTAATCTTATATTGATATTACTTTCCAATCTTACTATCTTTAGATTACGTCAAACATTGAATGATATGTTACAATCAAAAGACAAAAAAGCCAAAGGAATAACAATTACGGATTTTGTTATAAAAGCGGCTGCACTAGCCTGTAAAAAAGTACCAGAAACAAATAGTGTATGGATGGATAAAATGATTAGACAGTATGTATTATATCTCAAATTTCTTCCTTGATTTTCATAATTTTAATATGATTGCGCGTTTCTTATAGGTACGAAACAGTTGATATTAATGTGGCAATAGCAACGGATGCTGGTTTAATGACACCAATTATTTACAATGTTGATCAAAAAGTATGTTATTCATTCTAATAGTCACAGAAACATTAAATTTGTATATTGTAGGGTTTATCTCAAATAAGTAATGATGTAGCGGAACTTAGTGAAAAGGCCAATCAAGGCAAATTATCTGCAGATGAGTTGGAGGTAAGTACATCAGACTTTCTCAATAAAAATGTATAACTATAGCTTATGTATTTCTTTAATATAGAGTGGCTCATTTACTATATCGAATCTTGGAATGTACGGAATAAACAACTTTAGCCCTGTTATTTATCCACAACAAGTATAAAACAGATTATGAAAAAATAATGAAAAACTAGCCCGTTTTTTTATTTTAGTCATGTATCCTAGCTGTTGGTGGCATACAAGAGAGACTTGTACCAGATCAAAAGAATGAAAAAGGGTGAGATTTGATTGTCAATAATAGATCGTAACTTAAGTGATAGTAGGAGAACTTGTAAAATAAGTGTATTCATATTTAATACCGTTACTAATTTTGCTTATAAATCCGAATCAGCATTAGGTAAACATGTTGTAAGAATAAGTCATTTTAAAAATTTGAATAACATCAAAATTCTAGCTAGAAATCCACGAAAATATCGTCTACTAGTTCGAGAGCCCTTAGTTATAGGGTGAGAATTTTCCTATGTTTAATGATGCTGATCGCCCTATGCCTCTTTCTCTATTTCCACCGAAGAAATTGTAAATAGAAAATAGTGTCAAACAGAAAATGTAAAATAGTAAAATTCGTATACAGTTCTCTCTCCTTTGTCTGTCTTTTATTTTATTTTGATATTATGCCACTCTTTCATGCATCTGTAGATGATAGTATCCCGTGGCCTTTACGGTATGTTTATACATATATACATGTATAAGTATATATACGAATTTTCTTCATACCTGCACAAGTTCGCCTCTACTGAAGATGAATCTCTCGATTCGAAAACTTTGTTTTTAAATAAAAATCCGATTTCAGAACCAATTAGGTAAAAAAATATGAATACATAAATAATAGATATCGTTTCAGAAAATATAATAAATTCTCATCTAATAACTAAATTTATCTTTATCTTTTTCGTTCCAGATATCGTTCATCAACCTCACTAAACATAACATTATCTTGTGATCATCGTGTTGTTGATGGTGCAGTGGGAGCTCAATGGTTACAAGAGTTTAAATCATTCTTGGAGAATCCAGGCTCCATGATACTCTAGTAAAATTGAACCTTTTTTTCTAATTTCTTAACCAAAACTGGCCTAGGATTAATATATAACCCCTCTATTTTTCCGATTTTCTAAGAGTGATGATAAAATTAGTGTTTAGGAATTTTTTTGTTATTGTCTTTTTTTGTTCTTTTGTGACATGTTCCTCTTTCTATCTATACATGTTTTTTTCGTTTTTTTGTTTTCCGATCTAGCTCTTTAGGTATAAATTGTTAAAAGAGAAAAATGATGAACAGTGATTTAAATTAAAAAACATGTTTAATTGTTCTTTTCCCCTTTTCTATTCATAAGATCGATAATATCTATCTAGCATAGTTGATTGATTTAAAAAAAAACAAGTTGTTACTTTTTACTTATATTATTGACAATTCTTTCATTTAGTAAACTCCTTATTTCTCTTGAAGAACAAAAACTAACTTCTCTAGTCTTTCTCTGCTTCTGTTTTCAGTGGTTTGTGTACTAATTTCATTAATAAAAAGGAGCACTTTATTCCAAAAAAACCTAGGTTGCTTTTCTTCTTTGCACACAAACTGCCTTAGTACTTGATCCAAGTGTTTGATTTATTTGATACGTACTTAGAAAAATACTGCAATTATTTTCTAAATTACTCACTTGATATGTACTTGTACAAATACTTCTTTATGAACTTGGTTTTATTGTAATGAAGTACTTTGTTCTTACAACGCGCTTGTCAAGTAAAAAATCAAGTAAGACAAGCACTTGTCAATTTACTGCTGGAAAAAAGGCGAGTACCGGCTTCATTACGCACGAGAAGTACTTTGAATACGTAAAATTTTCCCAATTACTTATCAAATATGTTCACTAGGGTTAGACCACTAATTAAGATCATAAACTATTCTAAACTAGTGAGAAATTATGTTTTAGTTTATAATAGAGAATCACTAATTTTATTATTCTTGTTCGTAATACGTTTAGTATTTGCAAATATATTTCTGAAACTTAGCTCTTTATATGTGTGAGGATTCTACTATCAATCTATGAAGTTTTTCTTGTTTTAGTATCTGAAATTTTAGACAATGGCTTGGAAAACATTGACATCGCGTGGACTTTATTCTAAATTACGTCCATTATTAGCTGATGCATTAAGAGATTATCGTGCATTATACAAGATACAAACAGCTGATTATCACGAAAAGGTAGTTTTGTCTGTATGTGATGCTGTAGTATTTCTTTACGTACAACATTTGAATTTTTAAGGTCATCGAACATTATGAAAATCCTCGTAATGTTGGCTCTTTCGATAAATCAGACGATAACATTGGAACAGGACTTGTTGGTGCGCCGGCATGCGGAGATGTTATGAAATTACAAGTACGCTATTGACTATATATTACTATTAACATAGTCCATGAAGCTGATGTGTTTTTTTTAGATCAAAGTGGATGAAAATGGAAAAATAGTTGATGCAAAATTTAAAACATTTGGTTGTGGTTCAGCAATTGCATCCAGTTCATTAGCAACTGAATGGATCAAAGGGAAATCGGTAAAAATTGTTATACGATATATGATTGTTTATTGTCTAATTCATCTGTTTTTATATTCAGGTAAATGAAGCAAATACGATTAAAAACTCTGATATAGCCAAGGAGCTATGTTTACCACCGGTTAAATTACATTGCTCGAGTATGTAAAAATAGTTTTAATAAATATTCATTACATAGTTGATATAGATTTATTTTTGGACTTTGTTCAATAAAGTATAACTTTTAATTTGTTATTTTAGTGTTAGCTGAAGATGCAATCAAGGCAGCAATAAGTGATTATCAAACCAAACGTCAACAAAAAAAATCCTCAGCTTAATTCCTCAGCTTATTAAATTGCAAATTTTTCTTTGTTTTTTTTGTTTTTGTTACATTATGTCTTCATATTTTACAAACAGGTACACAGTGATAGTTATTCCCTCTGCATTGTTTTTTCCAATTATAAACTTTTTTTCTCGTTATCTGATTATGTATAAACGTGTGAAATGACTTATGTACATTAATGCTAAATAAAATATATTTTCTAGTCTTATAAAATAAGACGAATATAAGAATATTAATCTATTTGAACAATGAATAGTGAATTGACGATTGTTCTGGTCGATAGACTATTAGTATTGTGTCTACTCTTGTAGACAATTTCTAAACATATATTGAATAATGAACATTTATTTCTCGAATGTTAATAATGGATTATAGAGTCATAATAAATATCGATAATCGAATGTATGCGAATACATCAATTAATCTTACAGTTGATGTACGAAAATTATCTATATTAACAGATAAATTCAAAAAATATTAGTAATCAATTAAAAAGTGAAATAACACTATAAAAAATCAGACTGATTAGTCCAACAGTCTCAATTTGTTAAAAAACGATCGTTAAAACTAACCTAGGGCAAAACATACAAAATCTGGTCTTACCATAATTTAATTCTTCTAAGATTGTGGTTTATTTGGAACATTACGCTGTTTGAGCTAGGACACATCTTTTTCATTTAATCATTTCTACAGTACCTTAGCTAACTTAAATATGATGTTATCTTATTTTTCGTAGAATATGTTGCCTAATCAAACGAGAGGTAAAAATCGTATGATTATGTTTAACACCGTTTTTTTAAAGATCGTTCATATTAAAAACACAAATATACCTTTTCCTAACTTAATTAAATCATCATTCAAAACGCAATGTGACATGAATTTGCACTTGTGACCATTCGTATACTAAAATAAATAAATGTATTCTATTTTTCTTCTCTTTCTACACCTGTAATATCACGAAATGTACACTAATCAGAGATAACAAATAAACAACCGTTGAAAGAAGTTCAGAATGATTATGATCTTAATATCGAGTATTTCGTGTAAATAGAATCTATGACAATTATTGACAATTACAAATAAAATGAAAAAAAAAATCAGATGTACTATTGTCTAGTTATTCCATCAGTCCAGATGTTATTCCATATAGTTTACGATCAAATTCTGAATTAGAACTGATTGGTGGCCATGATGTACCCCAATGTTTATCTTCTGAGAATGGCAATAATAATGATGAAGATGTCATACAATTGGATGATGATGATTTAAATTACATATTTTAGTTTTCCTATTCTTCTAGAAGTAGAAGAAACTATATAGGCCAAATTTACTAAGATTTGACGAATAGTGGTATGATAAATACAACTTGTAGCGTGAAACGACAGTAATCGTTAGTCGTACCTCGAAGTGTTATCCCAAATCATTTGTTGTGATTAATGACCCAGAGATGTCAAAAGATGTGAAGAGTAGTTGTATCAACAACCGATTTTACTGTCACAAGATAGGTAAAATATATTTCGTTTCGAATAACAAATGTTCATAGACCATTTATAACAAAGTAAAGCTAATAATACATTATACAAAAAGGCACAAATATTGCAAAAGATTAGTTTCATACAATATTTGTTGCGATAACGTTTTAACGCAACATAATCAAGATGAGTTGCAATAAATGCAGAAAAATGAGCGACTAACAAGTCAATTAGAATTAACTATGGACGGACGAATTATGTTGTGTATAATCAAATCGGACCATTATCTATCACAAAAATTAAGGACTGTCTTTTGATTGAACAACATTTTTTTTCTTCATAAAACGTCGTTTCTTCTCCCAATCAATGGTTTCCAATTGAAGTTTGGTTAGATGAGATAAACGATTCCATACTTCCGTGGGACAATTGTTGTAAGGATCAGGATAATCGTACGTATCTAAACAGAAAGAAAAAAATGTACATGTTTTTAATAGTTGTATGTTGTATTGAGACTCATTTTTCCTATGTAGCACACAGATGTTTAAACCGAAATAATTTCAAATGATATATCCTTGCCTTTTTTCTCTTGATTTAATCTTGATTTAGAATTTTGATTTATATTTCTAGCAATTGATAATGATTGTGTATAATTAGCTTGTGACTGATTTGTTATAGAATTTCGAGTGTTTTTTATTGTTACATTTGATTTCATTCGTTCGGCTGTTATTAATAGACTACCACCATTTTGTGAACTATCGTTTGATGTTGTACGTATAGACGGCTGATTATAACGTTGACTTGTAAATGAACAATTTCCGCTACGATACGCAACTAATGTTGGATTCATATTAGGATTATTTAGTGAGGAATTAACGGTGACATATTGGGATGCCACAGTCATATCTTGTATTACACTGTTTGTTGTATTCTGATTTTGTACTTGTTCATTTATGTTTAACGTACGACGTTCTGGAAAAATCAAAGTAAAAAACACAAAAATTATTAAATTAGAGGACCATTACAAGGATTTTAAGAGTAAGCACAAATACATTTCAATAAGAATTGAACAACAAACCAATGTAGAATTTGTACTTATTGTAAAATGCAGAGGTGCAGAATCTACCCGTCAGATTGAAAAATTTTCGTCGACAGAAAAAGTTTTTCAAAAACTTTCCCAACATAATCCACTAACAGAATTTCTTTTTGCAATATATTTACAAAAAAGATGTTTCAATTTTTCAAAAAATTTTCCCGAATCACTAAAGTTTTGCCCCGACAACCGTCGGAGCAAACAGGCAGATTCTGCAGTTCTGGTGAAATGTAAAAAATTCAATTCAATATTCATAGAGAATTTTGATACTGAAATTATCTTTTCTCTAGAAATGTTAGAATTTTATCATCGAATTGTTTCGGTGATGTTCTACGTGTATATTCTTAACTTAGTTGTGAGAAAAGTTACAGAAAGATGGTCTAGAGAACTGCGTGCGTAAAGCCATTATAAAACAAATTTTGTTTAGTACAAACAAAGTCGAGTTTAAAATATCAAAACTAATTCGACATGTTTGAAAATGAACTTGTTTGTTAGTAAAGAAATTATGAATCAAAACTTCGAGCGGATATTCTGTTGCAACTGTAACATAAAGCGTCTTTTCTAAAAAAAAATGTTTGACCTACTTTGAGAATTCTATAGACGATTTGACTTGGGCTATTTAGACTACTGCTGTCACCAACGTTGATACAGATGATTATTCTTAGAATTGTTATTTATCTTTATATGAGAAGAGTTGTATCAATAAAAAATCTATCATTTCAAAACTATCAATAGTGGTAAACATTTTTACCGAAAAGTTGATCCTACACTTACTAAATGGATTTTTCTCATTAGTACCCTTTTTTTTTATTCTAATCTCCGCCTTTCGATGTTTAAACTGGTAAACATAATGGTACGAAAAACAGAAGAAATAAATATAAAATATATTTATTTTGTTCTTGTTCTTTGTCTTTATGTTTTATATATTTTAAACATCGATTCCTCTTTCACTCTCTTGCTCGTGCATCAACTCGTTACTACGTATTCATGTACCGCTGCCTTTTATTTTTAAAAATTGATATGTAAACTTACTCTCCCACTTTCTCTTTGTTTCTCTTTAAAACTCATCTTGCCTTAAAGACTTTTTCTTTTTCTATAAAAGAACGATGAAAATCACACGAAAAAAAAGCGAACATTAAATGTAATGCAGATATCTTGTTTGATCGTTCTATGCATGATCAAATAAGAAAGTGAGCGGCAAGTGAATGTCTGACGTTATAACAATAAAAGTCATTTTATTGTAATAGTGCTTCATTGTAACAAACGAAGATATAATAAAATACTCAACAATTAATATAGAACTAAATCAGAGAGATAATTTGAGTAGATTTATTCTATAAGAAAAATCATAAATGTTATCCGATTGAACGAGTTGTCGATCGAAAAGCATACACTATGCATTGTTCGTCTATCAGACGAACATAATAACTAGCTTATATTGGTAATTTATCGTTGTTTTGTGAAACTCCTTCAGTATCTTCAAAGGAGAAAGAATTGAAGTTTTATGCTCAAAAAGCCTTGATTTTGACCTATTTTTCTGTCTCCCCTTCCCAGGTGTATTCGTCTTAGAAAGGTGGAGTTTTCATCTTATAAATATGGTGTATTCACTAACAAGGTTATATGTTCTTCATAAAAGTATTCATCGATACTAAAATTGAATTATTATCTCACTTTGAGCCCAAAAAACATCACAAAAAAATATTTATGTTTTAGTAAAAAGATGTGAAATAAAGTGAAAAATCCCTAGTTACCATTATTATTTATCGTAGATAAAAATCCTGCACCATCTCTCTATATTACAATATTAATATAACGTAGTAGTACTTTACGTATTAAAAGTGAAAGACTTGCAAAGGAGTTTCACCATTTTAACTCCAAGAGAGGATGCTCTGACAAGGTTTTTTCCATTGTTTGAAGTCAAGTGAAATGTTTCTTGTTAAGGGTATGTATAATTGATAATTTACGTTTTAGAATATTATAATGAATTTATTTCTATTTAATATATTCTGAAAGAATCAAATTTCGCATAATTCGATACTTGAATGACGAGAAATCTACGAATTCATCAGAGAATATCCATAGAATTAAAAATTTTGTAACTTCTCCACACGAAGCACACTTACATTTGTGTGCTTTGATAATTGCAAAATGTTGTAGTAAAAGAAAGAAAAAATTTTATCCAGACAAAGCAGGCACGAATTTAAAAGAGTCCGGAAAAATGGCAGAATGGAGCTCGTTTATATAAATTTGTATAAAAACTGCAAAAAGGAGCCCGGATAATGTTAATTATTTTATTTATTATGCAGAATGAAGACCGAAAAAATATCCATTTTACTTTCAAGTCACATGTATTTTCCTTTGCCTTCGAAATTTGATGGAGTATAATCATAAATGTGTTTTTTGATTTAAAAAAAAGTAACAGTAATTGAGTATCTGTAAGAAAACTGCTGTTTCTTGAAAACTATCTATCTATCATGTTGCTGATTAATCTCCTGACAATCCTGATTTGATCTGTCGGACCCTTTGCATTTTCCAATTACAGTTGGTACGAGTCATATACTCTGTATTATCATTAATCCAATTGCATGAATGCATGAATATTCTAAAATGATGCGTGAATATATATAAAAATAATTTTCCGGACTGCATCCTGTATAATACATAAAATAAATAGCATTATCCGGGATATTTTTTGCAGGTTTTTTCTTTGAAACGAAAAAAACGCTTTCTGTTTCTTTCCGATTTTCCTTGGAATATTTATCATTTCTCAGATACTTAACGATCGCTACTCTGACTATATCACTCTTTTTGTGGTATTTTCTTCTTTTGTACCGTTAAGATTCAGATTATCAAAAAGTATCTATGTCATCAAAATCGCCTAGCGATTTTTCTGCTGGGTTTCCATAGTAACAAGCCAAAAAGATCGGCGATTAATTGTGCGATTTATCGCGATTACTCGGTGATCTTTTTGGCTTGTCACTATAGAAACCCAGCAGAAAAATCGCGATTAATCGGCAAAAGTTAGGCGATTTTTATGACATGGGTACTCATCATAGCGTCTAATAGTCTGTTAGTATTCATCATAGAAGAAAACATACAGAATAGTCAGCAACTTTGAATTCCGAATCGGCACCGTACAGAGGCGAAAATTAAAATACATTAGATATATCAGAAGAATCCATCCATCTACATATAACTCCATAATGAGAACAGCTGCAAAATGACATCCAAAGAAGGGGAATATCTTCAGTTGTTAACAAAAAGTTTAAAAGAATCATTTACATAGCTGATAGCGTTAGAGAAAACGCTGAAGTCCTCCAAAATGTATATGGCAAGAATGGCAAGAAGCGAGCACAAATTAGGCGAACATGCATAAGAAAGTCTTTCATGTGTGTTCGAGACAAGGCAAACAAACGTACTTTGTCCATCAGGTGCTTTGTTTGATAGAGTGTTGCTTGACTTTTCATCATTATCTAAATAAAATGATCGCAACTATATGTATCTGTCGGTCCCCTGTCAGGACTGAAAGAAAGGCAACGTCAGATTTTATGTTTCCAGGACAATGAAAACGACCGTATTTAGTCGTAAATCGCCATTTACGATCGTATAACGTCGACCTGGGTTGGGTGGGATCTATCTTTTTTACATGTTTTTTAAGAATAATATTTGGCTGGAATGAACAATTCAAATCTTTAGTCAATATTATACCAAACAGATTTTAGAGGACAACAGAAATAGATAAGTTTCGATGGTTGGCAAATGGTGACAGGGGACTGTCTATAGTCTTACTTATTCTTTAAATAGCTTACGTTCTTTGGATAGTTTTAAAATAATGACACTATCATTAATGTAACTGAGTTTTTGAGGATTTTTCCCATTTGTTGCGTTAACTAATGTTTTGAACGATGATATGTAACGTTTTGGTGTACATCGTATTGGTGCTATACGTTCATCTGACAAAAATATAAACTGATTAACTAAAATATGTATAAACTGTAAAGCTAATTACCTTGTCGGTGATTGTGAACGTGATATCGAATTTGTTGTTGTGAACTGTTATCATGAAAACAAGTGGATGATTTTTGACTATCGACTTCTTCTTTATCGGTTACATAAGAATGAACTGTACTTGATGTGACAAATGAATCGGTACCAGCCGATGTAAATTGGTTGTTAATTGGTTGATTATTGTGTGATGGTAACGCATCAGTAATATGACGTTTATTCTTGTTAGATACTGGTGGATAATAAATATGAGATATACGAGACTGATGTTCGTTACTATTGCCAGATAATCTAAATGAGTAAAATGAAAACTGGGGTGAGTTACTAATTTTAGTGAGGAAATTCATTAAAAAGTAATTTTTACACTTTTATCTGTAAATATATCCTATATACATTTAATCTGGTGTGATAAATGTACTTTCAATTATATGTCTGTATATATATATCTGTAAAATCATGCTTCGCATGACCGTGGCTATAAACAATAGAATCGTTTTTCATTGTGTATGAATAAATTATTACTGCTGATAATTACAAATGTTATTTGAATAGCTGAGTTTAGATTTACGCCCGACTGTCCTTTTATTCAGAGATGGCGATTGTTTAATGTCAATTTAATATATTTAATATCTACTAAAAATGCAACGTTTTGTATACAAGCATTTTTAAGGGTACCCCTCTCCTCTTGAAAATCGGGAAAGCCGATGTTTGATCGGGGTGAAATTCATACCAGGGATAGAGCATTGAAAAAGAAAATCAATGTATTTTTGCCTAGAATTTTCTGACATGTTCTTCTATGGGTTTTCATCTTGTCACATTACGATCCCTCGAAAACATGGTCCGATTGAGATGAAAATTTTATCACCGATATCTCACACCCTATCGCAGGTTCGTTTTCTTTTCTTTTCGAAAAATATGCTTTCCTTCTCGAGATATTCTAAAAACACTAAAAATCCTATATAAAAAACTGTTTTTTTATTTTGAAAACCTTTTCACGCCCAAAGTTGAAATCGGAAACGCTTAAAAGAACGGACCTGAAATAGGGTCTGAAGTATCTGCGGTAAAAATTTCACCTCGATCGGACCATTTCTTCGAGAGGTCGTGATGTGACCCGATTGAAGGGGCTATCGAAAAAACGCATGGTGTGTCTAGGGCTCTGTTTTTCAGAGCATTTGCGGTGATGCTTACATCTCCACGAGAAGCACTAGGCTTTGATGGAAAAACTTAAAAACTTCATAATTTTTTCAAAGAAGACCGTGGAGGGCTAGGAGTGGTCTCATTTTTATAGCCCAGACTTTCCTGTACATTAGACTATGTTCAAATCAGAATGAAAAGATTTTGCAAAAAAGAGAGGGCGGGTATCCTTAATGGATATTAATGAGCCCATTCTATACCACAAATTAACGACGAAAATGCGTACATATCAGAACGGTGGAAGGTTTGAAAGCGAAAAAAACTCAAATCAGAATGTCAAAAATGCGTAAGAAACTTTTAAAACTTAGAATTTTTCTGTGAAATCAGAAGAAGCGACAGCTCTGATATTGAAAGATCGATTTCATATTATCTTGCAAGGTAAAGCATCATATTACTTATATATTACATCTTTGAATAGTGTAAATTTTTTGTTTATGCTAAAACGACAATGATAAAATAAATTGATGCGTTTAGTTCATTTCTTCTTGAACTGTCAAGGGGGAACGTTGGTTCTTTAATAGGCTAAACTCTATCATTGAACGACTCGAATGCCATTTAACGATATCCGTACTCTGGAAGTTTTTATGAAACTAGTCGAATCTTTCAATTCAGAAAATTTTTATTTTGTATGTATTAAAATACAAGATGGTTGATTAACATCCGAGTGATATTCTTATGGTAATAGGACAAAAACAGTACTGTAAAAAGATTCTTCTAACGGTACAAAATTTGGTGGCTGTCTAAAATATCAGTTTTGTTCCAAAACTCCAACAAAGGAACCGTTTTCGTCAGCACAAAAACGTTTTTTAACGACTACTTGCCGTCCATATGTTGCTGGTGCCTAGAGATCAAGATAAAGCTAAAATGAAGGAGGCGTCGACACATTCTTATACATACATCATTTACATTTTATCTCATTTTAACCGTGACTTTTCCGGGACAGTGTGCTAGTATTAGCAGTTAATAGCAGAGGTCACACTATTTCGCTCTAGAATGAGCATGTACAATCAGGTACTCATATATTTGAAAATTTTACTCTCAAACTGAATACAATAAAAACCGGTTATTGTGTTTCACAAGAAAAGAGCCTATATGTATCTCTATTACGATCGTTTCAAGAAATTTGATTGGTATGAAGTTCTCCAATGCTATTCATTGTCTGATTCGTTCAATAAATCAAGCTGCTTGTTTCTGCTTGTTTATTTCAACAAGCTCAATAAATGACTCCAGAACTAGAGCGATCAAATGAAGACAGCCATAAGTCTTAACTGTGAACGTCAAAACTGCGCATTTAGTATAGACAGTAAAGATTTATGGATGACTTCATTTGACCGACTAAAGCCACGTTTACATAAACATCATGGCTGGACTTAGGATTCGATATCCCTGGGTACCATTTCTATACCCATATCTGATTTGAATAAAAATTACGTTACTTGCACTTGATTCACACCCGAACATTTAAAAGTGCAAAGAACAACACTCATATATTGTCTTCGTTTTCATTTCAATTATTTCTCTCTTTCTTTGAAGTGCTCATTCTTATAGTCACTGATTATTTTCAACAATCTTTCATCTAGAATCCACATTTCCACCTTCAACGGTTGAACATACACAACGGTTTAGATAAATGTGGACGTCGATGGATGACTTAACCATCTAAGATAGTTTATCGTTGAATGTTTGTTTGTTGACGTATTGGTTGTAATCGTTGTCATATGGATAAGTACTAGATCTCAATGAGAATTAAATCTACGAGCCATATTGATAAGTAGTTTCTCGAACTTAGTTAATAAACCAGAAGTGCTTATATGACAGAGATGGAGATTAATCGAGCAGCGACGGTATCTGTGACCGTAGCTTAGGGTACGTTTGAATCAAAGTAGCACTAAATTTAGACCTGAGTGAAAAAAGACGGTCGACAAAACCTTATGTTGCCCTAGATCCTGGCAAATCAAATAAAATCAATATTTCGAATAGGTTTTAAGGTCAGGAGACTAAGATTCCAATTAAAATATGAATAGAAAATTCAGTGTAAAGTAGATTCGTTGATGTAATGGAAGATGTTCCATTTTTGTCCGGGCAAATAATTGTATGTCGGAAATCGTAAAGCTGACTGCATACAAAGCGTATTTTGTCTTGGTCAGTCTGATTTTTAACGTATATTAAGATCTTATTACACACATCTCTTGACACATACTTATGGTAATGTGTTGAAAATATGTAAAATAAGAAGTAAAAATAGCAGCCACCTTATATGTCTTCCATTAACTTTATTTGCCTTTCGTTTTTCTTATTTTCAGATTCGAATAATTGTTAACAGAAACGATGTCCTCTATTGATCCCCCAGCAGCCGCCGAAATTCGTCTTTTATTAATCGGTCCTCCTAAAGTTGGTCAATCAAGTATAGCGAATGTATTAGCAGGCAGAAATGTTTTTCCAATTGCTGCTTCTAGTTCAAGTTCTAAAACTGCAACAAAATCTCCAAGACATTATACAAATAAGACAATTCTATCAAACAAGCATTTGTTAATTGTTGACGCGTATGTTTGTAATAATTAATAATAGTTTCTTTTTTACTCGATCAAGTTAATATAATCTTCACATTCAAATTTTCTTTCTCGCTTTTGAATGATAGATTCTATTAATAATTTTGTATGTTTAGACCTCCTCTATTCGTATTAAAAAATTCAACATCGAATGAAGCAGAAATGAAAAGTTTGGCCGAATGCATCGCTTACATTAGTCCTGGACCACATGCTATATTTTTGATTCTGAGTTGCGACGATAAAAAAAACGATTTATTCGACATGGAAAAGATTGTCACCACAGTATTTGGTAAGGATTTCGAAAAAATCTGTTCCAAATTAGACATTGCATGTGCAACATGGTCAAGACCAGTGTTTTCTGTCCCGGAACTGTCCCAGTCATATATAATATAAATAAATGAACACGAATATTTATTGTCTTCGTTTCTTATTCGAAGTAAATTATTTTTTATTTTATCTTTGCCATATTTAGGTAGTGAAGCATTGAAACAATCTATTGTTGTTTTCACGAATATTGATCGTTTGACAGAGAAGAACATTAGCGTTGAAGATTTTATAAATAATCAATGTAAACAACAATCGCTATTAGATGCATGTGACAGACGTTATCTGACAATTGATTCATCAACAAACGATTTAACAAAACATGAAACATTTATAAAGCAAGCGCTTATTTTATTGAATAATTTATGGGAAAAACAGACAATATTCAAATCAGATATGTTTAATACCATTGAAAAAGAATTACAACATATAGAACAACATCGTTTACAAGATTTATTGAAACCGGATACATCAATAGTTGAGCAAGGAGCCATGAAATTAGCTGTACGAGAACAATTGAGAGATGACATACATAGTCACAGAGAACTAGCTGATTCTACATTTTTTACATTACAAACACATTTACAAACAATATTTAAATCATTGGTACAAGAAGTAGCAAGATATTTTGAAGAGAATATTGCTAGTAGTTAAATTAGCTCTTGTTTTTTCGAACTTTGTAAATTTTGTCATCTATCTATCATTTTTATTATGACGAGTCTAAGCAAGATATTCTAAAAACAATATGGTAACTGCACATTTTCTCTTTTTAAGTAGATACTGAACAGTGTAATAGCAATGAAAACTTCTCTAGTCTGACTTTGCAGCTACATTGTAATTGATTTTTTATCGACTAACTGCATCATGAATTTGTATTAGGTTTGCTAATATCACTTTAAAATACGTGAACTGAATCGAGTTTTAATGTAACTAAACTCTTTTCTATTTATACACTGTATTTTACAAGTGAAATATTTTGTTTACTGTTTTCTTTGGTTCAGCATAAATATTACATATATATAAAACAAACACTATTTCTTTGTTGTTTCCAGTAGATACGTATAAAAATGACAATCGGTTTTTTTTGATAAAGAAGGTTTGAATTTGTTTTTAACGATTATAAAGACACGTGTCTTTTCAAAGAAAATTTCATTATGTAAAAAGTATCCTTTTTACCAGCACTGATGCACATTACTGCCAGAAAGAATCTGACATCGGTGCAAATCAATGTTAAGAAAAAAAGTCATTCGACACCGATGCACATTTGTACACAATCAGTGCCAGTAAAAAACGTTTTTTGTAGGAATCTAAATTTTAATCGAATTTATAATATTGAAATTAATAGAAAACATCTGAATACGTAAAACATTCATGAAAAAAAAGAGAATAATTTAACTTTTTAAAAAAACTTTTTAATCAGAATTTATTTTGATTTACTACTACACAAAAGTTATTATTGTTATTGTCATGTGGACTTATTTTCCTAATTTGCCTAAGTAAACATCGAAAAAAAACTATTTCTACAGATTTTTTTTCATACCTATAAATTTTTATACACTTGATTTATAACTAAACGTATTTTTCTGTTCATCAATGGAGTGGACATTCTACCATCTAACAGTTATCATACCATCTATTATGAAAAAAATTTATCAAATATTTCGTAAACACTGTTCAATTCATACTAACATAAGTTAAATATTTCTGTTGTTTTTGAAAATTAAACTATATTAAAATGTTTCCTCGCCTTATGTTTACTAATACTAGTCATTAATCTTATTTATGAATTCTGAATGTGAAGATAAGTATTAAAAAAGCTTACTTACATTGAAGATGGACTAAAGAATATATCTGTAACCATGTTGTTGTTGTTGCTCTTCTTGTCTCATAATAACAATACTGTTTTACAGCATATCGAACTTGTTAAACATATTTTTCAATCAAATGTCCAACAGCATCGTATAGAGACAACAATGAGAAGAAGAAAAAGGAGGAAAATGTATGTGTGTGTGTGTGTGTGTGTGTGTGTGTGTTTTTTTTGTTCTTGTTAGAAAAAAAAGAGTAGACGAAATATTTGTTTGACAATGGAAAGTAACAGGTAAGTGTAAGTTTCAATAGGTTGGTATGTTTTCATTGTATAATTTTTAAAAACTAAAGTCTTTTATATATTTTGTTCAAACACTCAAAATACGGTGGCATTTTGAAGGGTTTCGCCTTTTGACCGTCTCTATTCATCTCACAAAAAATATATTCTTAAAGGTAGAGTTGAAGTTATATTAATGTTCATGAGATTGAGAACATACATAAAATATAAAGAGATAAAAAGATCAGCTTTACGTTGATTTCAAGAGTCTTTAATGTCATGAAAGAGTTCCATTAGGGAATCACCTGGTAATCGACAACTAAAAATTTCTTTTAAGGGTATAAACGTGAAAATATAATGGAAAAATATTGAAAAAATTGATGGATATGGTATGACTTCGCGACAGTCATTTCACATCTTTTAAGTTACATGAGAGTAAACTTTCTGATGCTATCAGATATGTTCTTTTAGGTCTTGTATAATATGGTTATTCAAAGGCTATATACATATTGATATAAAAGAAATTATTGAACTTTTTGTATTTAGATGTAATCAACACCTCATTTTGCTTCAAAAATTTCAAATTTCAAATTTCATGAAATTTAGTTTTGAAAGAGATATGAGGATGCGATGGTGAGAAACTATAATTTCTAATTGTGGATAAAAGATATAGTTAGTTCATCAAAATAACTAGTTAAATTTTTGCATATCTTAGCAGATAAAAAATAAATGCGAAAAGTCATTTTTTTGGTCAGAAAATTGATCATTTTGAAGCTTCTTAATATGTTTTTCCTGAGATTTTACTTTCATATTTTATAATAAAACAGTGAATACAGTTTTGTAGAACAATAAACATGTCTTTTTGGAAAAAAATGAAGACATTCTCATAGTTTCAGTCTATAATGGAAAAAATTTTACAAACTTTTACCGTAACGAGTATCGTCAACAGATACATAAGAGCAATTGTAACAGAGAAGGCTCAATTCACATTGGGATCCAGTACTTACCTATATCGCTCGATAATTACAACCAATACGTCAACAAACAAACAAATATTCAACGATAAACTATCTTAGATGGTTAAGTCATTCACCGATGTCAGTAGTAGGAGAGAAATCATCAAACTTCAATTACGTTCGTCGAACGAGAATTTTGCTAAGAAACTTGCATATGTTATTTCCGCGTGTCGAAAAAACTGCGAGACGTCAATTTTGCCATTTACGGTATACATGCACGAGAATTATCTGTGAGAATTATGCATTCTAGACGAGAATTTATATGTATCAGTAGCCATAATTGTCATGTTTCTGCGTGATAATTATGCTGTTCGTTAATACTGATTATTTTTTTTTAGCCCTGAATTATGTTGTTAGTATGGGAAAGATGGCGATTTTCCATGTTTCGTATAAAGGTTGACGGATATTTTCTCTTGCATAATCCTCGTGTAAATACATTATTCCCATGTACTAGACACGAAGTGGCCATGAAGAGATATATAAATTCTCATGGAGATGGTATTATTCTCGTTGGAGTAGAATAATTGCGGTTTCTTGATTTTTCTCCCACCGCTCATCGACGTTCACACTGTCTAAATGTTCAACAGTTGGAGGTGGAAATGTGGATTCTAGATGAAAGATTGTTGAAGATAATCAGTGACTATAAGAATGAGCACTTCAAAGGAGAAGAAAGAGAGAAATAATCGAAATGAAAACGAAGACATATATGAGTGTTGTTCTTTGCACTTTTAAATGTTCGGGTGTGAATCAAGTGCAAGTAACGTAATTTTTATTCAAATCAGATATGGGTATAGAAATAGTACCCGAGATATCTTTCTTTGAAGGTGAATTGAATAATTAGAAAATATACAAATAATAATGAATCATTGTTGAAAAAGCAAAATGTATACTCTGTACTTTTTTGTGCTAATACTACTGGTTTTAAACTAAATACTTTTATCGTTCGCACAAAAATATTGTCTTCTCTTCACCAAATATCACACCTGGTTATTACAAACGGAGTGTTCACAGTGTTTTAAAAAAAAAACACGAAAAAAATGTGATTTGATTTGTTGTCTTGAGGGTTTCCACAGAGAAGAAATTCTCACTAAGTGGTTTTATTTTAAATTTAATTGACATATTAAGCCCCCGTGTCAGAAGCACAATTTTTTTTCTAAAAAGTCGATGTTTAGCTAAACGCATCATCAGATAACCCATGCTGTCTGCTTACAGGATCTATAGCTATTTGATCTCTATCGAAGGGGTATGAAGGTTTTTAGAAAAGTTTTCTGAAAGCCTTAAAAAACTGACTATTCGAAAAATGTCACCTTTTGATAAAGCAACACAAAAATACTTTCAATGACACTAGGATGTAGAGCAAACATTCTGATCAAAGTAAGACATCACCCAGTTTCGGATAATGTTATAACCAAACGTTGTGAGAGTTTCGCTAGAAGCCCTAAAATACGCATCAGACGCTAGCGCCACCGTATCTCGAAAGCGGTGTTCACCATGACAGCGTTTCGTAGCTGCAACATTTCTCGGTAGTGAAACATCGTGAAGAGCTTGGGAAGGTTAAAATGAGGAAAACACATGTGGGTAGAGGCTGATAGAGCTCGATTTTTGATATTCAGTCTAGATTTGTGGTCAGACATATATCTTTATGCAAATTAATGGGACTTTTTTGACGTTTGACGCTTACTATGATTTGCGAAACTAAAATATAAAAAATTCGACTCTATTGGCCTCTAGTTCACATGTGTTTTCGTCATTTTAAGACTTCCTAAGCTCTCCAGGATCTTACGTTACCGAGAAAACTTGCAGCTACGGACAGTCCCATTTTGACCTCTTGTTGAGCGACTTCTCTGAAACGGTGATAGATGACTTTACTTTAAGTACTGGGTTACTATTATTTTTAGATTTAAAAAGTTATTTTTAATCTATAATTTTTTCAATCAAAGACTATGAAAACACTATTTTTTGTCCGCCGCTTCACTCTCCTTTTATTTGAGCTCTCAGTTTGAATAACATTTAAGGGGTTCAAATGCTAACAGATAATAGCAATTCACTTCGACGGAAAACAAATTGAACGATCATTAACATCCCCTAAACGTTTATCTTGTTCAAAACAGAACGACTTTCGTATAAGTGTTTTTCTTTTTATACGTTTTAACTAATTCTAGTTGTAACAATGCATCGTCGTATGGTGAATCAAAAATGACCAGTTCAAAGTTTGTTAAATAACGATATAGGCTTTCATTTTCAAAAGAGTGAAGTCAATAAGAACAGGCTAAATAGAAATCAAATAGTATAATAACAAATAGTGTCCTTTTAAATGTCCAAAACATAAAAAAAAACAATTTACTTCTAGTGTGTTGATATGTGAAACAAGAGATCTCTAAAAATTGACGGATGACAAAATTTTTTCATTTTTAGCGTCATAAATTATGTATTTAGCGTTATCTTTATCAAAACCTGTTGGTTCAGTACTATGAGAAGAGTTAAAAATTGTTGAATTTTCGTATGCGAGGATCTTGAAAGATGTGTTAGTGTGTCTTGTAAAAAATGTCTGAAAAATGATGCAAACAACGGCATCTTGCTAGTGTGATTAAAATGAAATATTTAGGGGATACATAGCTCTGAATTTGCGTTTCTCGAATTTAGATAGTATTTGTCCAATTGTAAAAGTATCTAAGGTCTTATTACCGACGTAGAAAGTCGATGTACTCTGATGCAGACCTAATTCCTTAAAAAGCATGATTCACTTAAAGTTATGCGCATCGCTGTAAAGACGGATAATTTAATCTTTTTCCTTATGATGAAGTTAGAATTATCATCCATATTGAATGATAAGCCGTTGATTTAGATACCACATGTGAAAAAGTTGAGTTTTCATCTTTCGAGCCTTTGGCGCCGTGGGATTTTGTTTTTCAGAAAAAAAATTCGAATGCAACGAACAAATGTGAACGGATATATTTTACGTTTTCAAACGGTTTTTATAGAATTTTTTAATATTAATTAGTAGAAAGAAATTCGATCATGCCACAAAGTCAAAAGTAAGTATCAGAAACCTCATTTTATAGGTATCGTAAAGCAATTCAATAAATTATAAATATTTAATACTTATAGAATGTTGACCCGACACACTGCTGAAGGAGCAATATCAGCATTAGAAAAACTTTATCAAGTACTCGATTCATCAAATGGACGATATGGAAAAGCCTTAAGTTTGCATGATGGTGAAGTATTGTTGCAAACATTATGCAAATTAACTCAATTAGTCAGTCAGATGGACTGTGGAAGAGATGATGGGATGGGGGAAGGTCGAAGAGAGTTTTTCTCTATCGATAAACACGGTAGTGCAGTGGGTGCTGGAAAAGATTCATGCTGCAAACCTGGTCAGAATTACGGTGAATGTGTATTATACCATCCGATTCGAATAATAACAACATGCGTGTCAGATGAACCTTCGCTTCTTGGTGATCATGATTTTATTATGAAATCTGTGCGTGACAGAGGTGATAGAAGGAGTAAGTTGTTTGGTGAGATATATACGATAGACACAGATATTATAATGAAACGCTTGCGAAGAAATTGATTGCTCGAAATTTAAGCGGTGATGCTTGCAGTTTCGATAGTATTGATTTTGATGCTTAATTCTCAATCAACTATTCCAAAAGAAACACGCACGTTAATCACGTCAAACATCAGAATTTCATATCCTATTGTACGTAGCAATACTAAATCAGTGAATAGTGTTGCACAATACTTGGAAACTTTTTCGAGAAAAGAGATTACTTCGATCGATAGCTTAGTTTCGTGATATTATCATCACTTACTTTTCAAGTGCGTTCCCTCTCTCTTTATAGGTTCTCGTGATCGAGAACGAGTGCATAGCGAAATCAACAGACGAACAGGTGCTAGTGGTCATACATTAAAAAAGGATAAACGGCCGTCGAAAGGTCGTGGTTCATGTCAGCCAAGCAAAAATGGTCCAGGTAAACATGCATTTGTTCGCAATATTAGTTTTGAATTACATTAGATATTTGTTAACTTTTTTCAGAAAGTAAATCACGACGCGGTCGTTCAAGTCGAAGACTTCGTCAAGGACGAGCATCGCAAGGAAGAGGTGAGAACATTACGTCGCAAACAAAAGAATAGTTGTGGAGTTTTAACGCTGCTGATACAAAATGTGACAAACTGGAAAAATATGTCATTGAGGCAATTGGCCGTTTATTTGTCTTTTAATACATCGAGTGGCATGTTACTAATTACTTTTACAGGTAGCCGTAACAGATCTCGTGCTTCGCGTTTAAGCTGGAGATCAAGTAAAAGTAGAGGCTCAAGAGGTAACAAATGAATAAATAATTTAATATTTTGGATAATTCCATCTCCAGTTACAATTATAGGAAGATTCATCGGTCGTTCAAGTCGTTCGAGATCTTCGAGAGGATTTCACACTACTCGTGGCCCCCAAGGTAGAGGCGATCGTGGTAGTCGAAGATCAGTTCGAAGTATGAGAAAAGTATTATTTGTCGAATCTGATTTTCTTGCTTCATCTCTACGACTATTAGTATAATTTTGAAGCGCATATTATATTGACTTTCAGGATCCAAAAGTGATTCACGAAGTGGTAGATCATCAACTCATGGTACCAGTCTATCTGGCCGTTCAAGAAGAGGTTAGTATTTATAGAAATCCTGTCTTAATAAAGGTGTTTTCTAATTATTTAGGCGGAAGCAGATCAGGTTGGCGTGGGAGACACTCTCGAGATAGAGATGGTAGAAGATCAAGATCATCGTCAGTGAGTATATCCTGAGAGTAATAAGTAGTAAATAGAGAGAGTATAAAAAGTTCGTGTGTTTCATCAGTACGCTATTCAATATTGGATTGTTTTAGCGTGGAAGCCGACATTCTGCAGATAAAAGACGAGAAAGTGCATCTGGCCTAAGTGAAACGCATGCAAAAAAAGCAAAAATAACTCAGTGAGTCGTTAGTACTTTATTAATTAGCATACAAGATGAACATGAGCAATATCCTATTGTAGACAGCAACAAGCACCAACAGCGATGAATTCTCGAACAATCATTTCACAAGCTCCAATAGCGCCGCCAGCATTTCAGAACACCGTATCAAGTATAATTTTATTTTTAATAACATTTTTCGTAAGATTTGTAATACATAATAAAATAATTGTAGCACCATTCATTCGACCATTACCTTCACCAGCACTACTGGGCGGACCAATCGTAGCATCAGTTTCATCGTCTCAGCATTATGGATCACTATCTCTTTCTCATTTACATCCACAACTAGTAACACCATCACCACCACCACCGCTGCCACAGCATTTTCCCCCTGTGAATATTCATTTTTAAACTGAAAACTCATGAACTGCTACGTTTTATACGTAGACTGGTATCATTGGCGATTAACATGATGATTTTTGAACATTCTAGCCATCTGGGTCGCCCTCTCTTCAGCATGAAACACAGCAGTCACATTTAGTCATATCTGGAACCTCAAATCGACTTCTTCCACCACCACCATTCAGTACAATCATTCCAACTCAACAATCCCAACACCCAATGGCAACTCAGCCGAATACCACAACAGATAACAGTTTCACAGTTCCATCTATGGCAAGCACGAGCACTGTATCATCTACAATCGGTATGACGAATGGCCCGCCTCTTGCTGGCGGCCCATTAGCAACACTAAGTTCAAATTTGATATCACGTCCAGAAAACTGCCCTGAATGTCGAGCAATCACTCGACTATTACAATGGGCTCCATTGAGATGTTATGATGCAGCAGGACTTCAACGAGGAATATTTCTGGCTGGGCCGAAATCGGAACAACTATTCAATTCTCTGTATAGAAGTATCAAAGATTCAACATTTAATTTTGATGATATTGAAGAATGTGCATGTGAGACTTCTGAATGATGAGAAGACCGAATATATTTTTCTAATGTTATCGATTATTTATGTTACACTAGCATCTGTTTCTTTCATATGAATAATATAATCTTTAATACAAGGTTGATTATGAGAGATTTAATACACATCTTGCTAATGATGACATGTATCTGATTTTGTTTAAACTTGTTTAAACTGAATTATTTAGTGTTTTCACAACAGTTTCAAGAGCAAACAACAGTTAAAAGACAAAGCGAAAACACAAGTGTACATAATTAATGTTAAGTATGAGATATAATGAGCATTTTAAAATAAAAAAGCCAACAATTGAATTATAACTGAAAACTCGCAGACAACAAAATGCTGGAAAAAATTGTTCACCGAGATTCTTCACAGGGAACAAAATTGAAATCAAAAATAAGAAGCAAACACATATAAGTTAAAAATCTTTAAATAATTGTATTTCATATTTTGCTGCTACTGGAACCATTTTTAAGTCTGTTTCGTCATAACTATCAAAATTTGCTGTATCACCAGGACTTGTGACCACAGGTTGAATAGGTGGCTCATATTTTAATTCTGTTACATCCGACCAATTTACACCAACAAACCATTGTTCACGTTTAATCTCATCACCACCGTCTCTTGCCGAACCCAATCGAGATTGTTGATCGACATTTAATAATTTTCGTAATAACTGTTTAGCAGCGTAATCAAAGTGACGTGGAAATTCGATTTTACCGGATAATATTTTTTTGTATGTAACAAATTGATCTTGATCATAGAACGGTGGATATCCTACAATAGATATTTGTATGTAAAGAGTTAAATCCTTCTTTTCGCATCAACTGCTAATTAAGAAAGTATTCACTAACATGGCCCTTATTTTAAAATTATAATGCAGAAAAGT